CCCACCCTGAGTTGCAGATTCTTTCTTTTTTTTTAATTTTTTAACGTTTATTTATTATTGAGAGACAGAGAAAGACAGAGCATGAGCATGGGAGGGGCAGAAAGAGGGGGAGACGCAGAATCCGAAGCAGGCTCCAGGCTCTGAGCTGTCAGCACAGAGCCCGATGCAGGGCTCGAACCCACAAACTGTAAGATCATGACATGAGCTGAAGTTGGATGCTTAACGGACTGAGCCAGCTAGGTGCCATGAGTTGCAGATTCTTAACTGAAAGCTGGAATTGAGGGAAAGGTTGGGGAGAAGGAGTCCTTCAAACTCAGGAAGGACAGCATTCATGCATCTCTCAAATTTGCCTGGATGAAGAACTGGTCTGTTTTCAACTAGTACCAAGTCAAATTAGTTTACAGATATGTAGAGGAAGAAAGGAAGATGAATCTTTGTGAGTAAAATGTCTACCCATGGTTCCTCTTGGTACAACCCCAGCCATAGTTTCCAAGGACTCTGAAGGAATGTGAGAGGCACAGGGTTACAAGTTTATGCCTCCCCGGTCCACTGGCAGCTTGAGAAGAGGAAAGAATGAATGTTAACTCAGCTTTGGAACAGCACCAGAAAAACCCAGTGTGTGTGTGGAGGGAAGGGAACTCTAACGGGGTGGGGTGGGGTATTGTTGGATTAAGAGTTTACTACAAAATTAACAGATACCCTAGAAAAATCACATTTCATCATGAATCCTACTTGTTTCCCCCCTCCCCCCACCCCCCGGCAGGCAAGAGGGTGCCATGGACATAAAATAGTTTATGCTGCCATTTTTTGGTCCTGTCTTCCATATCAGAAGCTTGGAATCCCTGTCTATGAGGTTCATTGGCAAATTGACATTTAGGATAGCGGTTCTCAAACTGCTTGTTTCCAAAACACTGATAGCCTGCAGCTAGCCTCAAAGAATCACAATCTCTTCCCAATTTCCGAGAAAAAAAAATCAGCCAAAATGATGTGATTTTTTTCCTTTGTAAAAATATCCCCAAATCTTTGGTGTTTGCTTTTATTTGTGTGTTATCTGGTTTAGTTCAAACATATGCATCTGTTTATGTTGAAACTTAATAGATCATTATTTCTAGTTTGTAAAGAGTCTGTTAGTTCTAGGTGGTCTATAACCTCCCTTTGATTGAGGTCCGCTGTTGGAGCAAAATGTAGGGAGCATGTCATATCATTCTTGAGTGTCCCCTGAATGTAAATGAGTCCTTTGTGGACATCTGGCTCTCGGGATAGTAGCAGTGAATTGCACGAGATTGTGGGACGACTGAGGAAAGAAACCTGACCTCACATCCCTGACCGGTTTTGTCTGTTGTTCTAAACCTGACACATATTTTGTAAACTCAAACCATTCTTTTGCTGAGGTTTGTGGAAGAGGGGTTAAACTTCTTGGCCAACCCCTCCTCCCTTCCAGTTGGTCTGTCAGTCTTCATTAAATCCCCAGTTGAACTGTTGTTTTTCAAAACAATAAAGTGGTTGTTTCTACCTACAACCTGTCTTTTCCTGATATGATTATTGTTTAAAATGGGCCCATGACATGGCCAGGGGTTCATTTGGCAATGACAGAAATTATAATTTTGCTTCTTACTGTATTTATTTTGTTTAAAATTTTTTTAATGTTTATTTATTTTTGAGACAGAGAGAGACAGAGCATGAACAGAGGAGGGTCAGAGAGAGAGGGAGGCACAGAATCCGAAGCAGGCTCCAGGCTCTGAGCTGTCAGCACAGAGCTTGATGCGGGGCTCGAACTCACAGACCGTGAGATCATGACCTGAGCCGAAGTCGGAAGCTCAACCCACTGAGCCACCCAGGAGCCCCACTTCTTACTTTAAAAGTGGTTAAAGAGGGGCGCCTGGGTGGTGCAGTCGGTTAAGCGTCCGACTTCAGCCAGGTCACCATCTCGCGGTCCGTGAGTTCGAGCCCCGCGTCGGGCTCTGGGCTGATGGCTCGGAGCCTGGAGCCTGTTTCCGATTCTGTGTCTCCCTCTCTCTCTGCCCCTCTCCCGTTCATGCTGTCTCTCTCTGTCCCAAAAATAAATAAACGTTGAAAAAAAAAATTAAAAAAAAAAAGTGGTTAAAGAAGCAAACTTAAAACAAACAAAAAAAAGTTGCCATTTCATTAACCCTTCTGCCCCAGATAAAATTTTGCTGAAATTACTCATTGTTCTTTTCGTCAGCAAATATGTATTGAGAACCTTCGCTGTGTTGGCCCTTAGGGTATGAGGTGATTCCGTGTTTCTGGTTTCAGGGAGTTGACAGACAAGCAGTGTGGACCTAAGGACTTGCTAAGAACTGGCTTCCGGAAGTGCTGCCTCAGGGACTCTTTGACCGTGACCATTTTCTTTCAGGTACAAATTACTGCTCCCATCTGGGCATGAGCCCATTTAAAGAGTCTGGCCAAGGAAAAAGCTGTCTGCTGTAGTTTCCTGGCCTCAGAGAACCCTTGCTGGTCAGCAGTACCTGACTCGGATCACCTTCACTGCTGTGTAGGTAATAGTTCTAGGAATAGTGTGTCCAGTGAGAGTAAATTAACTTGGCAAGGAAGGAAACATTTGCTCTCCATCTGTGATACACGGTCCCAGGGAGCACTGGCGTCTCCCCTGGAGGATCCTAACAGCTGCCCAGTGGCATGCTTCACATCCCGAGGCTAGTCTTTCCCCAATTCGTATGGAATAGAAGTCATAAATGTTTAAGGCCATCCTGATCTGCACCCTAAGTGAGATCCGGAAGAGTATATTCAAGGCCAATGAACTGGGGAGGAGTCTACTAGTTTCGATTAGTTAAGCTGGGCCAGTCTGAAATCTACCTCTTTCCTGCACTGGGGGAAAGCTTGAAAGTGTCGATTTTAGTATCAGATAATAGTAATAATGATGGCAGACGATGATATAACACGTATGTCTTTCAAAACACATACATAAAGTATGTTTCAAAATGTACTTAACTCATTTAACCTCTCTCAACCCAAAGAGGTGGGTGCCGTTATTGTTGACAGGTTAGCCCTGGATCACACAATTTAGGATGTTTGATATACTTAGCCCATCTGGGATACAGTCTAATTCAACCTTGTTATTTTAGAGCATTTATTTGCCTCTTGCCTACTCACTGTGAGAGGCATCCCAGCTCTGCAGACTGACTGCCCTAGTCCGCATCTTATGGCTCACTACTAACTAGCAGGGTGACCTTGAGCAACTCATTGTCTTCTTGGTGCCTCAGTTTCCTCTGTAAAATGGGCATGATCACAGAACTACCTTGCCAGACTGCTGGGAGGATAAAATGAATGCATACTAGAGTAGTAGTGCTTTGTACCCAGGACGCGCTATTATTTTTATTATCAGCTATTACTTTCTTTCCAGCTTCATCTCCCACTGGTCCTTAATATAGCAGCCATGCTGAGCAGAGCTCCCTTGAATATCTCCCTCTGTCATATCTCAGTGCCTTTGCACATGCTATTCCTTTTGCCTAGAATGCCTTTCCCTTCCTCTCGCTACTTTCCGCTTAAATGTTCCTTCCTAATGACCTTGCTTCGTGCCCTCCCTTGTTCTCCAGGCAACTGTTCCCTTCCTTCTCATGCCATTCATCTATCAAAGGACTTAGTGATTAACAACTACCCAACATTTATTGAGCACTTATTATGTGCCCAATAGTGTTCCAAGTGTTTTTCCTGCCTTTTTAAAAAAATATATTGACAGCTCCATGTGGTAGGGTTACATTTTGTCAAAATTATGTCCATGTCTCTCCCCCAGTAGACTGTGATAGTGGCTTGTACATCTGTGTGTGTTATTCATTTTGTATCTCTAGGAGCTGGCAGAGTGCCTAATTAATACACAGTGGGCACTCCGTAAATGTGTAAGTGGGTACATTTTACCAACATCTATTTACATCTGAATAATAAGCTAATTGTAAGTGATTCTTCTTTTAAATAATCTTCATGCTTTTCTCGTTGCAGAAATTCACTGTCAAAATTTTAGAAAACCCCGATAAGTAAGAAGAAGGAAATTAAAACGCCACTGCTCCCAGCCCTGGAGAGCTTCAGCAACGTGCTTAGGGACACACAAGTGTTCTCAATAGCCAAACTGAGAATCAAGGTCAGGCAGGCTGGTGACAGAGCGCAAAGCTTTAACGCTGCATGAATCTGCTCTTCCTTCTCCCCTGGCAAACACACACACACACACACCCTCCCGTGAACAAATTATATTAGCTATTAAAATAGGTTGGAAGAGCCGACATTGGAAAATGAAATCTACCGTATGTATGATGGTGCAAGATGTGAAATCTACATTTAAAAAACGGACAGTATTCTGTCTTTTCATGCCTTCACACTTCCTGTTCCACCACCTACATGGGGGAATCTGGACTGGGAGGCAGCGTAGTGAGGGAAGCTAGAATTGAGGATGGCCTCTAAATCAGAGAGACACAGGTTCGAGCCCCGGCTGTGCCACCAGGTGCCTTCCAGGGATGTGTTGCAAAACCTCCCTCAGTCTTTATTTCTCCTGTAAAATAGAGATAATAAGAAACACTTCACAGCGTCTTGTGAAGTTTAGAGGTTACATGATGGTGAAGTGCCTTGCGCTTGATTAATGGTAGGTCTTGTTAAGTCTCTAATGGTGACATTCTGTGGCTTCCCCAAACAGCAACCTTGCCAACTTGATGTCCACTGCCGCTACATGTATTTGTTTATTTGCAATCCTTCGTTTTCATTCTGGTGGTAACTTAACTTTCATATTATTATTAGATGCCTTGCCTCACAATCGTTTTCTTAGAAATTCAATCTCTTCTCCACAGGGTCTCTTTGAGATTAAAGAGAAAGAAGTGGCACATTTAGGATCTGAGAGCAATTTTCATTTAAAAGAAGATCATTGTTTTCATTACCCTATCATTAATGTTTTCTATTTTCCTTTATCAGGGAGTTAGTTTGAAGTGATTTGTGTTGCCAAACCGAACGCTTGTTTTCCTGCAAGATGAAAGGAGACAGCCATGAATGAGCCACTGGACAGTTTTGCAAATGCTTCTTCCGACTTCCCCGATTTTGCAGCGCCTTTTGGAAATTGCACTGATGAAAAAATCCCACTCAAGAGGCACTACCTCCCTGTAATATATAGCATCATCTTCCTGGTGGGCTTTCCAGGGAACGCAGTAGCGATTTCCACTTACATTTTCAAAATGCGGCCGTGGAAAGGCAGCACCGTCATTATGCTGAACCTGGCCTGCACAGACCTGCTGTATCTAACCAGCTTCCCTTTCCTGATTCACTACTATGCCAGCGGCGAAAACTGGATCTTTGGGGATTTCATGTGCAAGTTCATCCGCTTCGGCTTCCATTTCAACCTGTACGGCAGCATCCTCTTCCTCACCTGTTACAGCATCTTCCGATACTTCGTGATCATTCACCCCATGAGCTGCTTTTCCTTTCACAAGACTCGATGGGCCGTGGTGGCCTGTGCTGTGGTGTGGATCATTTCCCTGGTGGCCGTCATTCCCATGACCTTCCTGATCACATCAACCACCGGGCCCAATAGATCGGCCTGCCTCGACCTCACCAGTTCGGATGACCTCGCCACTATCAAATGGTACAATCTAGTTTTGACTGCAACTACTTTCTGCCTTCCCCTGGTGATAGTGACACTGTGCTATACAATGATTATCTGCACCCTAACCCAAGGACCTCAGAATCACAGCTGCCTTAAGCAGAAAGCTAGAAGGCTAACCATTCTGCTACTCCTCGTGTTTTACATATGTTTTTTACCCTTCCACATCTTGAGGGTCATTCGGATCGAATCTCGACTGCTTTCAATCAGCTGCCCCATCGAGAATCAGATCCATGAAGCGTACATCGTTTCTAGGCCGTTAGCCGCCCTGAACACCTTCGGTAACCTGTTACTGTATGTGGTGGTCAGTGACAACTTCCAGCAGGCCCTCTGCTCGATGGTGAGATGCAAAGCCAGTGGGGACCTGGAACAAGCAAAAAAAATCAGTTACACAAACAACCCTTGACATACTTCATTTAGTCAACCAAGAAGAAAAGCCTGCTGATATTTTAACTTCTAAGTCCAGAACGGCTCCCTCAGTGGCTCTCAGGAAATATTGTATGTTCAGGTAATCACGTGCCAAAGCCAGGACGGGGCTACCGGGAGTTCTTGGTAACCCGTTTATTGAGATCTTCCCTAGGGTAGAGGTAAGAATGGGATACATGCATATCAGCAGAAGATTCACATGTAGAATCCAAACTATTAGAAATCAGGGACATCTTGCAAAACATCTAGTCTTGGGGCACCTGCATGGCTCAGTTGGTTAAGCCTCCAAATCTTGATTTCGATTCAGGTCATGATCTCGAAGTTCATGAGTTCGAGCCCCTCGCTGGCGCCTGCACTGGCACTGAGGAGCCTGCTTGGGATTCTCTCTCACCCTTTCTCTCTCTGTCCTCCTCAGCTCTCACTTTCTCTCTCTCTCCTCTCTCTCAAAACAAAAAAAATAGATAAACTTAAAAAAAAGAAAAACATGCCCTAGATCTGTCAGGAAGTTAGTGCCAAGATTGGGGAAAACCAAGCTACTCACTCATGGTTTCATGCCCCCTTCATACTGGGGCCTGTTTGTGTTGAACCCCCAGACTATCCAAGGCATTATTTATCTCTTTTTCAGTATTCTTTTTGTTTTCATTTCATAGCTTTAAAACTTACTCTTTCAAACTTTGCTTTGAGGCCATTAAACTGCGTTTCTCACAAGGCTTTAGTCAAGTAGATTCAAGGTGGTCAGTACAATTCACCTGAGACACCCCAAAGATGTCAGTGCAAATAACAACATATGTGGGTCATTATGTCTGTATTGTTGTAGGTCGTTTTAAAAGTTGCTGCTGATTTATAAAAATGATCAACTAATACTAGTTATTATCACCACATCCTGGGGAAGGAGGAGCCACTTCTTGGGGAAACAGAAGTCCTTTTATTTATTTATTTTTTTTATTATTATTTTTTTTTTAATTTTTTTTTCAACATTTATTTATTTTTGGGACAGAGAGAGACAGAGCATGAATGGGGGAGGGGCAGAGAGAGAGAGGGAGACACAGAATCGGAAACAGGCTCCAGGCTCTGAGCCATCAGCCCAGAGCCCGACGCGGGGCTCGAACTCACGGACCGCGAGATTGTGACCTGGCTGAAGTCGGATGCTTAACCGACTGCGCCACCCAGGCGCCCCAGAAGTCCTTTTAAATACCTTGTATATAGGGGCGCCTGGGTGGCTCAATCGGTTGGGTGTCCAACTTCGGCTCAGGTCATGGTCTCACTGTTCGCCGGTTCGAGCCCCGCGTCGGGCTCTGTGCTGACCACTTGGAGACTGGAACCTGCTTCGGATTCTGTGTCTCCCCCTCTCTCTGCCCCTCCCATGCTCATGCTCTGTCTCTCTCTGTCTCTCAATAATGAATAAATGTTAAAAAATTTTTTTAAATATCGTGTATATATTGGATGTTAAGTAAAATCTAACGTCGTCATGATTTCTGTGGAAAACGATTCTCGGAAACACTGATTCCCTTTAGATAACGTTCTCTTTTGTGACTCTCTTGAAAATATGTTATCTATTTATTTTAACAGCTAAAGGTATTTTTGATTTATGTGTGTGCCTAATTATCACAATATAAGTTGAAATAATTTGAGAAAAATGCTCAGTCTGGACATTTAAAACCTTAGTAAATGTGTCGATACAATTAATAAACTAATTTATAAATTTTTTATGTTTGCTTTTGAGAGAGAGACAGAGCGTGAGCAGGGGAGGGGCAGAGAGAGAGAGGGAGACACAGAATCTGAAGCAGGCTCCAGGTTCCGAGCTGTCAGCACAGAGCCCGACGCAGGGCTCGAACTCACAAACCGCGAGATTGTGACCTGAGCCAAAGTCGGATGCTTAAGCAACTGAGCCACCCAAGTGCCCCAATAAACTAATTTAAAGACACTGGATAAATACTGAATAAGCTGGTAGTATTTTTCTGTGAAAGTGCAGCTTTACCACCATTATATATATTTACATGAAGCTTACGTTCTCCATGTGTAGAGAGAAAAACTGTTTGTGACTTTCAGGTTCTTCTAGAACATTACATCTGACTTAGACCTAAGTAAAGATGTGCTCCGGGAGCCTCTGCCAGGCTTGCAGGGGGAAGGAAGAGGCAGGCCGAAGGCTCCGCACATGGATGTTTCTGGATGATGACACTGTCTCCACCACCCACCTTCTGAGCCATCGTCTCCAGGGCCTTTCCAGAGCATAAGGAACGAGTTGTTTGACTGGAGGGCTTGACTTCCTCATGCACGTTGGCTGCACAGCATGAAACAGCATTCAGAGACCCGTTGGGAACCTGAAGGCCGGGTAGCTCTCCTTCCTATCTCCCTAGTGTCCCGCCCTCACCAAAGTGTGGACAGGTCAGCCTCTGTACCACAGCTGTTGTTATTCTAGCCCAGGACACAAACCCCTTTCTGTCTCTATTCTTTCTTATTTCAAAGATTTTACCCACCAGAAAAAAAGCCACCCGAATCTCCTTTATGTCTGTCTCAACTGTCTCTGTAGAATCTTTTTTATCCTTTTCCTTCTTCCCACAAACGTACAGAACAGTAAATCATTTCTCTTTCTGATTCCAATTCTTCCACTGTGTCTTTGGTCCTTACTCTGCTGTCTTAGGGATTTAACTCTGCCACTGAATCCTATTTTCTCAAATTTTTAACATTTCTATTACCTTGGATAACCGACCTTAGTTTGGGAACATGCATAATATTCCTTTATCCTCAAAATACCTTCGCTCACTCAGCTGTGTTATTCTTTTATTGGCCCTGCTCCCTGCAGGTATGGGTCAGGTGCAGATGACAGTCTGTCCTCCAGGGTTCTGCTGATAGAATATAATCGCAAAGATCCGAGCTAAATTAGACTCAAAGGGTCAGTCTTATTTTCCAAAGTAAAGAGTTCTGGGCTAATTGTGTTTGGAACTGAGGCCAAAAGAAGAGATTGATGATACTCCCAAGACTAGAATAGGACCCGAATGACCTTGTCTCGTAGTTGTAGGCCAAGAAAGTACAGAGACAAAAGAGCAGAGCTCTGACTGTCTGCCAGAGAGGGAGCTGCTGGGTCTTCTCACCATATGAGGAATCTAAGTTCAAGTCAGGCCCAATGTGCTTGAGTGCAGGGAATCTAGAAAAAACTGTTCCGAACTTTAGCGACGCGCTAACCCCTCCACTTTGTTTTTAACTGTCGATCATAGAATTTTTAAAAAAATGTTTTCTTTTTAATTTTTATTTTAGAGAGAGAGAGTGTGAGCGGGGGAAAGGGACAGAGGGAAAGAGAGAGTGCACAAGAGAGCATCTCAAGCAGACTCCATGCTCAGCATGGATCCTGACATGGGGCTCAATCCCCCGACCCTGGGATCATGACCTGAGCTGAAATCAAGATTCAGACGCTCAACCGACTGAACCACCCAGGAGCCCCTATCATGGAAATTTAAATGGTCAAAGAAGTAGAAAAAGTAACAAAATGACGTCCCATATCCATGACTGAATGTCACCAGTAACCAACATCCTGCCATTCTTGTCTCATCCATTCCCCCCACCCTTTTGTGTTTTTTGCTAGAATATTTAAAAGCAAATCCTAGGAGACATAGTAGTTTCACCTATAAATGCTTCAACATTGATCTCTTTCAAAAAGCAGAAAACCAAACAAAATAAAAAATTATTTCTTAATATTATCTAATATCCAATCCTTATTTTCCTTCCCTTGGTTACCCCAAACATGTCTTTATACAGTTGGCTTTTTCAAATTAGGGTCCAGGCAAGTTCTATGCGCTACATGTGGTTGATAGGTCTATCAAATTTCTGTTCATCTATTAGAGTTCCCCTTTCCTTTATTTATTGTCATCTATTTACTGAAGGGATTGAGTCATTTGCCCTGTGGAATCTTCCTCATTGCGTTTTAATTCCGTTCGGCTGTTTGTCATGTGGCTCCATGTCCTGCATTTGGTGTAAATTAGAAAGAACTGGAGGTTAGAATAGATGTAGATTCTTTTCTCCCACCCTCGCACCCTCCCTCCTCTCCCTTTCTTTCCCTCCCTCCCTCTTTCCCTGCCTCCTCTCCTTCCTCCTTTGTTTTCTTTTCACAGAAACAGGACTCCACCTCAGGAGGTATAGGGCCTGACTGCTCTCCATTTAACGATTGAGCAGGGGTTTCAGGATGTATCAGCCTGATCCTTGTATCATAAGGATCCTTTGCCCTTCATAGTTTTTCCGTCATTACTTATTGTCTGGACCCACTAGGGTGATCACAGTGGTGACTTTTAAAAGTCTAACACCCTTCTGCTTTCATTTGTTAAGACTTTTCTGTAAAGATCTTTAACCCATCAACTGTCTCTTCCCCTGCTACTCTGAGCACAGACCCACCGATTACATTTAGCTCCTCCTCCTCCTTTGGGAAGGCACAAATAAGGCATGAAAAGACAGAGTGTAAGTACTGGCAGAGTATCCTTTCTGTATGGGCCACATTTTTGTTCTTTAACTCTTCAGGGTTAACGGCCATGCCTGTGACCCACAGGGTTAGAGCTGCAGCCTTGGGGACCGAGCTGGCCTTGTTGCGCCATGCTTCTACAAACCCACCTTAGTGCCTCTGTGTATCTTCTTGGACTACGGCAGGGCATTTTCACTTTCCCCTAGAGAGCTCTGAGAAGAGGGAGAACAAGGCATTAATAATGACAAGGCCACGTAGCACTTGAGGCTAAATGCGCACTTCCTGTGCTAATTTCATTCTTAAATTCCACCCAGCGAACACCGTTCAATACAATCTACCTGATACTATACAATGAGTCCAGATGATATCAGATGATACAAGGCCAGCAAGGCAAAAATCCCTGAAGGGTGAGAGCCCTGTTCATTACTGAGTTCCTGGGAAAAGACTACATTTGTTATGCACATTGATCTGTCTTCTTTCAATTCTATTTCCTTTTCTGCACTTTCTTCTGAATATTCTCTATTTATCTTTCA